CATCCATTTTTATCTATTCATATGACTCTGTTCGCTCGTTTCTCACAAACGCATACGACCCAAACGCCATATCCATAACGGAAAAGGTTAAAAATACGGTTATATCAGCAGATACGATTGTCGAAGAAACTGAAGCTACAATCACTTTTATTACTGGAGAATGTTTCTGGATGTTTGGACACGAAATGGATGTGGATAAGGACGCCGTCAAAGGAAAGAAAATCACTGTGGATATGGTCTCTATCATTAGGTTCGAGTATGACAAGATTCAAAGCGTTCGGATGTATTGGGATCAGTTAAGCGTCATGAGGCAGATCGGGTGTGAGAGTTGGGTGGACGTTTGCGAAAATGAAAAGAGTAACGAGTATGTGAGGAGAAGGAGGCAAGATTGGAATAGCGCTATCACTATGGATGATGGTGATTCTGTTGGCAATAGTGAAGTGGCTGGTAACTGGATTTTTGTCAGACCAAAGATGGGTTCAAAGCCTCGTCGTGACTGGTTTTGATGTAAAAGAGTGCAGGAGTTTTTGTATCTAGACAGTGACGTGAAGTTGGCTTGTTAATAAGATATCAAATATCCATTGCTATGGAGAGAATAAAGTAACTGTCGTAGTAATAGTGGATATGCGTATATTTGAATTGTAAATTTGTCCATATACGTAGTTACTGTAATTGCAATAGACGTGATTAGCGCTTTTATGCGACAGTCATTTCACCGACAATGATTGGAAATTTGTTCTTGGGGAAATCATTAATTTTATGAGGTCATTTACTGAGCCTTTGACTGTTTTGAGAATGTGCTTAATCGAAAACGCATTAAGGACATCCAGGTTGTTCAAGTAGGTTGAAATTTATTTTATCGTCAAATTTCGAAATACCTTTAACCTATAACGTTTATACAAACAATTATACGTTATCGAAACCAGAGCCAATACTTCAAGTCTCATTAAATTATTTCTGCCAAGCGACTCTTCTAATAACCAGTTAATAAGAACACAATACTATTTGTATTACTTATTTGTTATAATAATCAGTATAATGTAACTATCGCGAGGAACTTTTATTCATCAGTATAATGTAACAGTTTTTATAGAAACGTAAAGACTCAAAGCCTAGTAAATTAGGTGCATTTGTAAAAATAAGTGCTTAACTAATCGATGTGTCGTGTCGCAAAGCTGCAGTTAATTGTAAAATCATCGTTCAAATACATTCTAATAGTAAGGCTAAAAATTATATTACGGTCCTTTTCAATATAAATCACCGCAAATCATCGTATGATTAGGCTACATTTACAGTCTAACCATAACGCTAAAAGCACATGATTACACATCAGGCGCAGGAATTTACATCCCTTCGTTGGACTTTGCCTCCATAAATAGGACGTGTCGGGTTGTGTGACCTGGCAGGTAAATTCCTGATAATAAAATACAAACATCATCAAAATACATTCTAACCATAATGCTAAAAATTGTACCAATAATGTCAAAAGCAAGATAGATCCACACACATTGACTACATATACAACGACTATATTTACTATCTAACCGTAAACTGCGTTTGATACCTTCAATCACACAAGCCCACTAGTGAAGTGATGATGAGAATCTCATGATTAACCCTTCGCGATCACAATTAGCAACAATATCAGTTTAAGTTGTTTATGGAGCAGTAGCATTAATATATTATTCAATAAAACGTTGTTGACATATGTCAGTTCGGAAGTGACATAAAATTCTGTCTGACATATGTTACTTCCGATCAGACATAAATTCCGATCTAACATACAGCACTATTATCAACTAGTACATGCAAGCACATTTCATTTATTGTGGAGGCGATTTTTGGTGAAATTAAGAAAATAAGTGTCTCAAGAGTTTATCTCCGTGTATAGTGAAAAAGAGATATCATGTTTCAGTAATATTTTATCAGGCTCTTGAAGCATAACCTTTGATTCCAAGTCTTTCATGAATGGCGATTATGTTTTTTTTTTCTAAATATTCGAATAGGTTCATGTATAGGCCGCAACGGGGCGGTTGTGAGTGCAGTGATTGCACGAGTTATTTTTTGAGGACCGATATAATGAATAGTGACGAAGATGACTTACATAGTTGGCCCTTCGCGATTTATGTATTTTGCAACAATTATTTATTCTCTGTTCAGCGCTTATAAATTTTGTTGTCCGTAGGCAAGCACGTTCAATTGCAACACGAGTACAAACACCTACGTAAAAAATAAATCGCGCTCTTCTAAACTCCAATTGAATATTTTAAGTATGCTTTCTGACATTCACTTTACATCCATTATAGCAAACTTTTTTTTGTAAGGGACTTTATCATTCTTTCAAAACCGAAAACAGAAGAAAAGCTCTTTGTCTTTAAACTTAAAACGAATAATCGAGTTTTAATAATAGACAAACAATTAGATAATGGTTGTATTTTAAATTTAGCTTCAAAATGTTAAGACGTATGTGTTCTTATTTTGCTTCGAGGAAGTGGAAAGAATAGGAGTTTCTCATCAATAAGTTTAAGTGAATGTTTTTAGAATAGAATTTACACTGTATAAGCATTAATGAAATAAATATTTTAGCTCGATGGTTTTGTTAACTGGGAACATTGTACAAGAGTAATTTCACAAAGAGTCAAGTGGCAAAGAGCATCAAAGATAACCATATACTAAAGGCGTCCTCAATTTGGCCAACATGATGGAACAGTGTTTCAAACTGTCCATGAGCTTATGGTTATCAAGACATCTTTTCATTTGGAATGCCTACACAAAGGACGCCAGATCTTAGAAATGTGCAAGACTGGTGTTGGTGGGTAAACACCACTTGGCAGACATCTACGAGCTCGTTCAGTATGTTGGTAATATAATTTCCCGCCTATATCTATTTATTACTGTTGGCAGCTGTTATATGGCACAAATAGATGTGACTATCAAGGAAATCATAAAAGATATGATAGAAATGTCTCGTGGTGTACAACATCCTACTCCGGATTGTTCCTAAGGCACTATCTAAGCGGGATGACAAGAGACTCTCTTCCAGTTGGAACAGGCCAAGGGTACCATGGGTTGGCTAGAGCATATGGGGCATACTGCAACAAAACCAGACAAATTAAACATTCTATTATGTGACATAAATGAGAGGCTGTAATAATAATAACAATTTGATTATCACAAATTTATATTTTACATTAATATCACGGAAAAATGTAATTAATGTTCAAGTTTATTAAAATAGACTTTTACTTGGAATTACTATTACAGTATGTTGAATATAGGATTACCTCTATCTTAATCTATAAAAATAAAATACATGAAACTAATTTATTATTATATTAAATCCACCATGGAACCAAAGAATTACAGCTCTATTAGAAGTATTTTTAATAAAGGGCAAGGAGAAAAAATTGCTCCTTATGTTTTTAAAATGAATGATACCAAAATTCTCCAATAAATAAACATTAATGCAAACTTATGATGAACGAAAAAGAAACAAAAATTAGAAGCATAAAGCAAGCAGCTGTTTTTGTTTTTATTGTTAATAATTAGCAGTAATTGGGACAGATTCTTTATATACTACTTGAGTTATAATGACAATAAATACAATAATTTTGGTCCACTGTGCCCCAAGTACAGTAATTCCTAACAATACATCCACTGATTGGCATTGCATTGGTATATTAGGTCACATCATGCACCATCAAACTTACACCTCAACCATGGATTTTTTCATGTTTGTGCAAAAGTATAGGGACATTCTACTGAATGCAACACCTCAAGAGCTCAATGAAGCATGGTGACTGGAGCTCAAAAGAAGAAAGCTAGAACTTGAGAAACTCTGACTCAAAAAGACACTCCCATGGGTAACAACTTTGTAACTTGGGCATTGGGGACATAACCCCCCTGACAAAATTATAAGTACAAGACAAAATTTTACTAGTAAAACATATGAAACCCCTTTATTTTCAAAAATCTCTATTATCCATACACACTATGTAACCCACAATGATTTTGGTACCATTTTGAACCATTTTGGATGCAATGAATTCAGGACCCAATGTGTTGATTTCTGGTGTTACCTGTGCCACTTGTATGTGACTGTCTTACAGCCATTTTTCTGCTGGACAAGATCATATCAGTAAGTGGCAATTTGGATGATCTGCTACCTTACTGTTAAGAGCATCCAGCATCATAATGTCAATATATGGTGGAAGCAGCTTGACTCTTTCATCATGAATTCTCTCAGAGTTGGAGCATTTTAATTTGTACAGATACAGAGGGGAAAAGTTATATGTATGTGTCTTAATGACAAAAAAATTTTGGATGAGTCAATAATTTTGGGAAATGTCCAGTAACTAAATGATAATTCAGCATCATTATCATAGCTATATTATAATAATAAAGCAGTTTATGGCATATTGACTTCCATACATACCCATATTTAGTAAGCTAATTGACTGATATGGTCCTCCCTTCTGATCCAGCATTTGGCTGATGCCTTTTTAGCTTTAAAGCACCTCTGAATTAAAAATCAAGCAAGCATTGCATGAGCTTATTCCAATTACTGTTCTACATAATACCAAATATATTGTGTTAAGGAAAAGTTAACTTACATATAATCCTGTATTTAAGACCTTTCTCTTAGGTTTGAAATCGAATCCAATGCCTTTTTTATATAGTAATAGAGCATCATTCAATAAAAAAGAAAGGCATTCATCAAATAATGGCTTTTTCAATAATTATAATATGTACCTCTTCTTCTGTTTCCTACCAACATGTTTTCCATATTCAAATGCACCCAGATTCAATTGTCATATTGGGTTTGTTGTTCAACCAATACCTTTGCTGCATTGAATAAGAGGCCTATTGCAGTCAACAACCATATTTGAAAAGAAATGTGCATTATTTATCATATGTATGGATTGCTGTTTGTAATTGACACCCATTCTTCAAAGGTAAACAATCATATAGACACGGCCAATCAATTACCATTATCGATGCTAGAGCTCTAAGATCTCAGTTGCATTATTCCATGTGAGCTTCCTAAGCTGTTTCCTTAATTCATATGCAAGGTCCAACTGATATTTCGACGTTACATTCATCATACCTATTATCCACTATAATACAGAAATAACAATGAGATATAGCAAAAAAAATAATAAAATTTAATTTTATCGTACTTCAAGTTCACATTCTTTTCTTACCTCTCGTTCTAGAGAGTCATAATCGAACGTCAGATACTCGTTCTGGTCCTTCCTCTGCGTTCCCATCAGAATCTCCTTTAATCTCGTTCAACTCGTTGTTCGGCTCTTGATTGCTAATCTGATTGACAGACACATCTGTCTCTGCAAAGTTATTTGTTAGGCAGTGTCAACATGACGAGAAAAAAAAGCATGTTACATATGAACGGAATGCCGTCAAAGTTTACCGGTTCGCAGGCAGGTGTTATAATCATCGTCATGACACTGAGTCGTATCACTACTGAATACAACTTTTCCATCTCTTGGATACTGTTATGTCAATGTCTTTATGCCATATCACATTTCAATTAACCTGAGACAAAGAGTCCTGAGCCGTGATTAATCTTTCACGTTCTTTAAAGTTCTCAGTTTCTCGTTGTATCCACTATTGAGAAACATCATTAGAGACCTTGTTCTGATATTAGAAAGAAATACATTATAATGACAAAGTAAGAGGCAAGCAGCTGTATGCTAAAGGTAACCACTCACCACGAGCTGGCCGAATGTCTCTTGAAAGAGATGCCTTAAAAGAGATGCCTTGAGGCCCGAACTCCTGTACATATGAGAGGCAATATAAATATACATAGAGAATGATCAGCCGTAGTTATAATACACGTAGCGTCATGTAAAAGCTTTTTTGCATAGAGAAATTTGAGTCGAAGAATTGCTATCTTTCGTGGTCTGTTTCCCGCATACAGGTTTTTCACCGTTCGTTTCTAACCACAAAAGAAAACTTTTTTCTCTCCATTCACGTGGTTTCGATTTCGCGAAGTACTCCGGTAAAAGTGAAAACATCGTAAATTAACATTGACTTGAGACGTTCTCTTAACTCACCGAAAGGCTCGCCTAAAGACAATTCTCTTACAGTGCGCGTCTGTTATTTGTGTCCCCAATAAAAGTTCCTCGCGATGGTTATTTGTGTCCCCGTGGTAGTCAAAATTTTTTTTGTGTAACATGTGATTCTCCTGTTGTCGATCTTGGCCAAACTTAAACTCTGGTGGCTTTTATTTAAAAGTATATCACCGTCCGTGTTTTTACTTTTTCGGAAATTAGACCTAATGCTAAAGGACATTGTCCACAAACGACATAAGAAATGAACCAACAAGAATGAAATGACATGTTGTCAGTAATTAAAGCTACTGTTACTAAGCTTGAAAAAGTTTATCAATTTGTTGGCTATCACTCTACTAGAAAACTAAACGCCCAAAGCTATTTTTAATTATTGATTTTGAACACTTTACCCCACAACGCCATTTCGAAGAACAAACACCTTTGTGTGATGCGTACTCCAACACCAACAAACTCTTACTGCAATGGTTGCGGCACGTAATGTGTTCGGTCTTGTATCCGCTATAAAAGCGCATGCTGAGATATACATATCAACTGGGTGCTATTTATGGTAAAAGATACTAATATAATGCAATACGCAAAAATTAATTTTCAATTTTGGTAGGGCGGGTATTAATGATTTTGTTATAGACTTTCTTGTTATTTATCATTGCTCTGTATACTTGCAGAGATTACAACAGCGGTTCTATTGACAAATATCTTAATTACAGCAAGCAATTTCCCATCAGATTAGAATAATGACATTTGATGACGCGGTCTAATCGATTGCGATTACGGGCTTTGAACAGATTAGCAATGAAAGAACTACAGCCTCTACGGTTCTTACAGCCATTGTTTTAATGGTGAAGGTCGTGGTTTTTGACAACGCAGAGGGGCCAAAGTACAGTATAATTTTAATCACTTGCATGATATCTCACCATTCTTCAAAATTTGCATTTGATACATCATCACTATTCTTTATTGATTCTTATTGTTGCTTTGAAATTCAGAAAAGGAACCATTTTTATTTTGCTTCCTGCTTGCTATTTGTAGTTTGCATTTACTAAGACAAGACAAATTATTAAAACTTACCAATTAATTAAACGGTTTGTGGTATATCGCATGATATTAAATTCTCGGATTTTATTGGATGGTTTATTCATTAAAGAATCGAGTATTAGTATAGAGTTGGTGCACCATATTAAGACTTTCTCTATTTTTACTATCCCATGTTATATGCTTGGCTGTTTAAGATTACATAAGGCCTTTGTTCCTTTATCTATTAATATTGTGTGGGTGGCAAAAAGTACAAGTGGCATGCAGTTGCAGATACATTTATTTCCTTTGATTCTTCATTCATAATGTACAATTTAAAATAGCAATAAAAATCACTCCGATTATTAAGATTGTTGTTTTTTATTTTATTTTAGTTTTTCTTCTTAAGCCACTAATGCTAGTTCCTGAGGGGTCAATACTGAGTATTCGTCGCGTTCATTGTGCGTTCGTCGTCGATCGGTCGTTTTTGCGGCGCGTACAAAATTTTACAACCTCCCTGTTGATCAATTGCGAAACATCTATTTTTTCAAAATCTTTGCTGGTCGTGTCTATTAAGCAAACTACAAAATTTTTGCATTGTTATGAAGCTAATTGATTGTATTTTTCAGGAAAATAATATTAAACTGGGCTAGTTGTCATATTGGTTACTGTATGACTAAACATATGATTATATATGTGTAACATATATACCATCTTTGGCTAATCACGGATCCAATACATTTTGCTTAAGTTTATGAGTATTTATTCGAAGACTACAGTCAATTAGCTTCATAATATTACAAAAAATTTTGTTATTTGTTTATATTTAATAATAGATATAGATTTTTTCACGATTTTTATAGACATTCTTTTTAATTTGCACGTCTAGTAGAATAATTGCTATCATACATCTTGAAATATTTTCTTGATTTCTCCATAGCCTGAACGTATCTATGAATGTAGTGGTCTTTGAGGTACGTTGGAGTCAAAGACTGAACGCGATAAAAATGATGTCCCTTTGGAAATTTTCCATAATCGTTATCTGGGCTTAACACACGAGCCAGCTTCTCATCAGAGTCGCTGTCCATTTCCGACATACTTGTGCTACCCAAATCACTCACATCATTCATTGCTTTCATATCATCGTTCGTGTCTTTCGTATCATTGGCAGCATTCTCGTCATTAGTAACATTTTCATCGTTCGCATCATTCACCCGACGCTTATCCTTTACATCCTTCATATCATGTGCAATATCTTTGCTCGACATTTTTAGCATTTCCGGAAACAAAATCACAGGTGATTTGGGCAACCTTCCATCTTGATAAAACACTATTTCCTCTCCAACGTGTCCGTAATTGAGAAAGCTGTTCGGACTAACGTTATAAAGGAACTTTGGATCATCGTTTCCGGTTATTAGCCGGGCGAGGATGTCTTTGTCATCGACTATACGCCAAATAGTGTTCTGACGAGTGACTGGAGTATTTGTAAGTCCAGAGAATGACGATACGAAGGTTGAATCGCCTATATACGGTGTTCCGTAGAAATAAGCATCTCTATTGAGGATAACGGGTGAGCAAAGAGTGGAAATGCATGGTGGTGAATGTATAGCGGTGAATGTATAGCGGTAAATGCAGATTTCTTTTAATAATAAGTAGTTAGATATATTAACATCCGTACGCCAAATTCAATAAACTCACCTCAACATAACACCCTTGGGTAACTCCACGGGATCTTTCATAGCTCTAGCAAAGAACAGAGTTCCCAAAGAAGCTCCCAACGAATGTCCCGTGACCCACAAATTAATTTTTGTATCTTTTCTCATCAACTCTTTCACGACAATTTCGATGCCCTCCAATATCCTCTGGTAAGGACTTTTAATACCAGCTTTGGAACTCCCTTTCACTTTGCTCGAGAAAAGACATTCGTACCATCCCTCATGGGTCCGCCCGAACAAATATGGTGCATCAACGCGTCGGAACGAACAATCCGTTACCCATTCGTCAAAATCAAACGGCGTACTGCCTTTGAATGCCAGAATAATAAAATCTTGGTCTGGCGAATAGAATAATCCCGCATATGCACGACCAAATGCGTTCAACTCGGACAGACTAAAGAATTTCAAACCCCATCGTTTAGCTTGTTCATGGATTCTCTCGTCACTCTGAAGAATTAAATTTTCAATCTCACTCAAGTCGGTCTTCACAATCGAGCCGTAGGAAGGAAAGGGATTCTTTAGGCCGTGCTCGGCAAGTTTATGTCGTGCCTCGAATACATAATTGAGATCCCGTTCGTAAATTATGCCAGAGATGAGACAGAGGAATTCGGCAATGTCTAGGTTGAACCTGCTGGGGGCTGGTTTGTGAACATCTTTTACAACGGTGCGGTTATACATATCGACAGTAACGTTGTCGTGAGAAGAGAGCAATAATTTTGCTCTGTTGACAAGAGGAAAAGCTGGTTCATTAAAGAGATCAGTGTTCCCTGTGAAGAAGATTTAGAGAAATTTGTGCTATAAATTCATGAATTGTGCAACTACGGTTCTCTTTTGACATATGAATGGAATGTTCCCTACTTACACCAGTTGAGTACAGATAATCCATCGCCATATTCGATACTAGCCTTGGTCATTTGTTCTCCAGCACCGAAAAAGAAGGACACTTTCAACGTCACTCCCAACACGAACAATCCAATTGACAAGAGCACGTACGTCGCCAGGTTTACCAACGTGATAATAGGGTGCAAGATTAAAGTTGGAACATCAGCGACCATCGACAGGAGAATGTTCTGAATAAAATATCTAAGATAGAGAAAATATGGACGTATGACCACTGGACTGAAATAGGATGGAGGAGGAGGTGGCGGCTCACAACTGCAAATATCTTGCATGTGCGTCGTTAGTACTTTTTTCCCTGACATTTTGTGAATACTGTCAGAGGGAGAGGTGGGGGTTCTGTGGGTGTTTATAGTGTTATTAAGCTAATCATGATATTTTTAAATTTGCTCTGGTTATGATTGTTTCTCTGTACTGTTTAAAATTTTTTGTTCCACCTATCCGTGATTGAGTACAGCAGTACTGTCTGTTGTGAGTACAAACCGCTTATATACATTTACCCGAAATAAAACAGTCTGCTGATTACGCCTGCAAAAGTAAAGGTTAATTATCAGGAATGCAAGGTATGGCCGATGACTGAACATTTATATGCGAATTGGCCACAAGATACATGCCTGTCCATTAAAGTACCACAACTCGAAAGCCAGTCAGTATTTTTAATCGACATTGGATCAATTGATTGTCCAAGGTATTCCCAAATCAAGTAATGTAAACAGTGATGCAAGGCAAGTGAAGAGTCTAACTGGAAATCCATCGCTCAATCTGGTGTCAAGTGTGCACACGCTTACCTTGTTTGTAAGAAGAAGAAAAATTAAATATATCCTAATACAGATATTTGTCGTACAAGAATGGAGAAACAAACAAACCATTCTAATGTATTAATACGGTAATAAACTTTGGATAAGCCAAGCAACAAGATAAGAATGTTATGAGACATATGACGTTCATAGATCTTCCGAAGATCAATATGATTGACTTTTACACGTTTTTGGGAACGCAGCTATTTGCCGTCAAGTTACACAGTTCGAATGACAATTGTTTATGAAATGATTATATAACCAAATAATAATAAACTTTATTATACACTCCAAAAATTCGGAGATAAATATCAGAACATGCGCGTCGTAAATACACATTTAATATTAATATGAACGAGTAAACATTTTCAAATTACGTCACTAATTAACGCTAACAAAAATAATCCACTTCAGAATCTACTTGATCGCTTTACTCGAGCCAGTTGCGGGTGGTTTTGTTATTGGTTGTATTTTATAGAACTTCGCTGTTTCTTTAGCAGTCAAAAAGTACGGTCTCGCTCTTTGCAGAGCCATCAAATACCTATACACGAGATGATCCTTGGCAAAAGGCGGCATCCACCAATCCTTTTTATCCTCTTCAAGAGCAGCACTATTTATGTCCACTGGCACCTCACGTTTTGCTTGACTTGTTCCTTCCTTTTCCGAATCCAAGGGCACAAGCAAGTCTTCGACTTCCGTCTTTGGTCTACGCCCGTCCTTAAAAAGCCTTATATTCTCGCCAACATGAGCATAGTCAAAAATATAATTATCGCTCACGTATTGCAATGTTTCAGGATCGTCGAATCCAACTGGGACGTTGCAGACAACGTCGTTATCGGAAATCACGCGCCAGCATGTATTGAAACGATTGGAAGGTGTGTTACAGAGCGAAGAAAAGTTCTTGGCGAATTCACCGTTCCCTATACAAGGTGTCCCGTAGACGTAGGCGTCTCTGTTGGAGGAAAGCATAAAAAGAAAAACAAATTAATAGAATATTCACTAAACAGTAAACTATGTTTATAGTTGAAGAGTTGATTTACCTTAAAATACAATCAGCCGGCAGATCAGAAGGACTGCGCATTAATCTCGCATAAAACAAGGTTGCAAGGGCACTTCCCAAGGAATGCCCAGTAACCCAGACATTGATTGGCGGCGGTTTTTCACTATGGCCAGTATTCTTGGTATCCCTTGTTTTTTTAATAATTTCTACGTATTTATGCAATTTCCTCAAGATCATCCTATACGGATATTCCTTAATCAACTTGGAACGTCCCTTCTTCTCTTCTCCAAATAGCATTCTATAGAATCCTTCATGCACTTCACCGAACAACTGTGTCCTGCCATCAGTACGCATAAAAGTTGCATCGACAGCCCACTCGGCAAAGTCGGTCGGTGTCGTTCCCTTAAACACAATAACTATAAAGTTATGCTTCTCACGATAGAATGCGCCACAAAATGGACTCGTCTTTGTTCCTAATTCAGAAAGTTTACGGAATGTGAAACCCCATTTCTCGGATCTCTCATTGATAAATTCAATAGTGGAGTCGTCCTGGGTTAAGACCTCGTTCTCGTCCTTGGTCTCGACCTTCTTAGTCTCGTCCTTAGTCTCGTCGTCCTTAATCTCGTCCTTATTCTTGTCCTTGATAGGATTCCGTTCATAAATGAGAGCCGATAATAATAACATGAGTTCAGCAACATCTATGTTGAAAGAAGGTTTTTGGTAGCGCTCATCTGAGTAGTCTTCGTAATGAGTTATCTTTGTGACTTCGTCCAATTTGAGTTCTAATGGGTTGTCGAGAAACATGCCGGCTGTCTTAACAAGACGTTTTCTGTCCTTATCAAAAGCCTTGTCAAAAATCTTTGAGTGTACTAGTTGAGGTTTAATCCGATAAACAAATATGTAAGCATCACATATGAAGGAGAGAATATTGCAAGTACACTTTAAAACAGTAACGATCGGCTTGTTCGCGATATAAATTTTACCTTTCTCTTTCCCACCCATGAAGCGACTCCCAATTCGAAATACTACGGAAACAACGACCATAGTACTGGATGCTACTGGATACATTATTAGAGTCGCCAATGATCCCATAGGATGACGAATGATTTGCGTCCAGTCGAACCAGAAAGTCAAAAAAAGTGTTTTCGCGGTACGGCCAAGGTATTTGAGGAGTGGCAAAGTGAAGGCATCCCTGTCAGTAAAATGATGCTCTAGAATCGGTGGTCGAGAGGTAATTTCAGAGGACGATGATGGAGATTCGGTGGTGGAGGTGGAGGAGGAAGAGTCAGAGTCAGAGTCGGAAGTAGAGCCCTCATCTGTGATAAATTTGCTTTTTCGACTATAAAGGCAAGAGATAGAAACGTCGAACGCGAAGTTTGAAGTTAAATATAAAGAATATTTATCGTTATAACAGCGTTATGATCACTCACGTTATATCAAGCAGATCTCTATTTGATGGATTATTAGGCGTCGGTTTATCCATGTTGAATACAGAATTCCGTTTTTATGGAATGCCTGACATGGACCCTCCACCTTTATTTATATAGTACTTTTCTTGGCAGTATGTTAGTTCCACTTTCTTTCATTTCCGTGTTTGTCACAAAAACCAAATAACGTTGCATTCCCATTTATAGTAATATTGTATGAATGGAGAGACGGCAAGCGATATATATGGTATATGATTAAAATAACTATCTTTGACTCTTCCTTAAGTTTGTGTTCCCAAACAAAGAGATTGTTACGATGCGGCCCGATAGTCACTGCATATTTCCTTCCTTGTTACTAGCCGAAAGCCCCTCTTGTATTATAATCATTACCAGTAAAAACGATATTTGAACTTGCTTATCACAAAACAAACAGTGGGATAGAGATTATCAGTTCATATTGGCTTCAGTAACAAATTCACCCTGACATTTCCCTGATGCGAGTCTCTGCTTGAAATCAATAAACAAATTCTACGTTGTTTGAACAAACCTGGTCATCCTGACAATGATGACCAAAACAAGTCACAGCCGCAAGAAGCGTCATGTTGTAAACAAAGTCATCTGTTCTGATTGAGACAACTTTCTCTGTTACAATTTTAAGGTTGCTTGGCACTCTCTGTCACACTATAAATATTACGTTATTGGACTGATTGTTGTACATACAATGCCGTGAAACGGTAAAACTCAGATAACAACTACCGGTAATACTATAATAATAATGCAAACGGTAAAAGTTTTTTGGGGTTAATGAAAAGTTTGGATAGTCTGCAAATAGTCGAACACTTAGTAAATCAAATTCATATTCATTCATATGGTAAATACGTTATTTTCAGTTTTCCAATAAAACATAGAATAAGGCTGCAAGCATAATAATAAATGTATTATTCTTCATTGACCGAAGCACGAGAAATATAAATTACTTGGCCATTCGTTTTATCAGACGAGGTCACATTGTAGGATTACGTGCATCCAAACAGTAATATTAACCGTGGATATCAATTATTGATATGGTGGTGCTACACAAGCCACATGTTCTCTTACTATTACGGGATATTCGACTGTTAACTTTCCTCAACCATTGAGAGCGTTCACTATTATTGTTGCTGGATAATTCACTGAACCGGAAGCTAACTCCGATATCATAGGGATATCGTTAGCCTATGACAATGTTACGTTCTTATGAGCTTACTTGATATGATATGAAAAATTCTAATTATGACAATTCTATCGAATAAAAAAGCCATGCATTTCTTGGAGATAGGCAATTGTGGCTGTTCAAAAAGATTCCGAGAGAAAAGTTCTGCTGAATTACGTGAGGCGTTTCAAGCTCTCTCTATATCCAAACAAGATATATTTTTAATAGCCCAGTTGAAAGCAATGAATGGTGGAGAAGTAACTGCCAGTCGACGTCTTAAAAAGAAAGCGCGTACTAATAAAAGAACCTTTTACTATTGGGATCGCAATACGCCTCTTTGCCCGAAAACATATCCCAATATGTTAGGAATTGGCCGCACTCATTTGGAAAACGTCAGAAATCACGTGGAGATGAATGGCATGATACTAATACCGCGTGTTCATGAAAGTTCTAGTTCCCAGTTGCCAGTGACACCGTAGTGTTAAAAGTTACATATTGTCAGTGATTGCGGGTGCCTATGGTTGATGGATTTCTTGTTAGCAAGAGGGACTTCAATACGGACGAGGTTCCAGCAAGAGAAACTCGGCATCTATCGCTGTAATGACCGGGTGGTAACAAAGTCAAGAAGGAAGATCTGATGCAATTAAGTGATGTTTGTTTTGCCGTAAAGTAAATTTCAGTATCAAATATTTTCATTGGTTAATAAAATTATACCATTCCTTCTTGGAAAACGGGACTAACCTCGCATTACCTTATCCAGTAACTTTTCTGTTTATTAGTTAAGACGAAAATTATATCATATATGGTCCGGTGCAAAAAGATAGATACCTCAGATTATTGCAAATAAATTTTTTAAGAAAAATTTTTTCTAAA